TTGGAAAGCCCTTGGATCAGCAGGAAGAACTAAAAACGATTTTCCAGCTGAGTGGTTTTTAATTGTCTTCCAAAGACTTCAAAGGGTTTCACAGAAGCAACTAAGGGCTACCAAGCGGGCTGGGACTGGGGAACAGGTAGATAGGACTCTGCACCCAGCCCCCCTTCCTGCTTTAAATAGAACAGCTCTGATTGAATTGCTTTATTTGTTGGAGCTCCTACTAAGAGTTCATTGAAACAAATAAAGGATATCCATGGCTAAAAAAAAGTTTGGCCATCACATGTCTAGGTGGTGGTAGAATTATTGGGCTGGGATTAAGCCTCTGTGATGGCCGCCTTATGAGTTCTTCTGAGGAACTTTGATGGTAACCGTCTTCACCTCTGTGTAGGCCTTAAGCCCATCCTCTCCTAGCTCCCTCCCATTGCCAGATTCCTTAAAGCCTCCAAATGGTGTGTGGCAGGTGACAATGTTGTAGGTGTTGACCCACACGGTCCCAGCCTGGAGTGCCTGGGTGAAGTACATGGCCTTGTCCAGGTCCTGGGTGAACACGGCTGCAGCCAGGCCATATCTGGTGTTGTTGGCCCTCTCAATCACTTCCTCAATCTTCCTGAACTTGAACAAGGGCTGCACAGGCCCAAAGATCTCCTCTTTGGCGATCCTCATGTCATCCTGAACGCCACCAAAGACCGTAGGCTTGATAAAGAAACCACGGTCCCCAAAACGCTCCCCGCCACAGAGAAGTTTTGCTCCCTCTTTCTGGCCAAGCTGGATGTAGCCCAGGATTCGTTCAAACTGCTCCTTGTCCACCTGGGGCCCCTGCTGAGTGTCCAGCTGGAAGGGGTTCCCCACTTTCCTCTGCTTTGCTTTCTCTACCGTCCTCTCGAGAAACTCATCATAGATGGATTCTTCCACGAAGGTCCGGGAACCAGCACAGCAGCACTGGCCCATGTTGAAGAAGAGGGCTTCGTGGCACTGCTCCACAGCATGGTCCATGTTAGCATCTGCCAGCACGATGCTGGGGCTCTTGCCACCCAACTCCAGGGTGACTCTCTTAAGGTTGGAATCGCCAGCCGCCTTCTGGATCAGGTGGCCCACCTCGGTGGAGCCAGTGAAGGCAACCTTGTCAATATCCACGTGCTGTGCAATCGCTGCTCCTGCTGTTGGACCATAGCCTGTGATGATGTTCACCACCCCAGGGGGAAAGCCAGCCTCCTTGATGAGGGAGGCCAAGTACAGGGCAGAGAGGGGGGTCTGCTCCGCCACCTTCATAACCACAGTGTTGCCTGTGGCAAGCGCTGGAGCCAGTTTCCAGCCCTGCATGACCAAGGGGAAGTTCCATGGGATGATCTGGCCACAGACACCGACGGGCTCATGCCGCGTGAAGCAGAAATGCTCACCATCCATGGGGATGGTCTTGCCGTGCCACTTGTCAGCCCAGCCAGCAAAGTAGCGGTACACCTTGATAACTTCATCCAGGTCCAAGGCGTAAGACTCTTGGAAAGGTTTCCCATTATCCAAGGTCTCTAGCGAGGCCAAGTAGACACGATCCCGCTCCACTAGGTCGGCCAGGCGGTTCAGCAGCTGGCCCCGCTCAGAGGCATCCATGCGGCGCCATGGGGACCCCAGGCGGAAGGCCTCCCGGGCTGCTTTCACTGCTCGATCCACATCAGCCCCGTCCCCTTCAGCCACGTGCCCGATAACCTCCCCGGTGGTGGGGTTGATTGTGGGGAAAGTCTTCTTGCTGAGCGCATCTTGCCACTCATTATTGATGAACAGCTGACTGTAGCAGATGTCTGGCTTCAAGATGGGGTTGGGGAGGGCTGCTGCCGAGGAGTATGGGGCGATCCTGCCGTGGAGGCAAAGTAGCCGGGGGACCAGGAAGCGCAGCATGCTGTCCACTCTGGAGAGAGACGGAGGGAGCCAGAGTGAACGGGTGGGAGGGGGCCATGGGAGCACTCGAAGGCCCACCAGCTCCGATGTTCCAAGATCCCAGAATGAAGACGTGTCACCTCCAAAAACATGGATTGCAAGGGGTGCCAGGGGCCCTGATGGACTGTCTGGTCCAACTCCATCATGTCCCCCCTCTTGTTAGCTCACTCCCTCACCTCTTCTGGGTCTTTGCTCAAATGCCATCTTCTCAGCAAGGCCTTCTCTCACATAAAACTGCGACTTTTCCCACCTCGGCACTCACTGTCCCACATACTCTGCTTTACGTTTCTCCATCTCACACCCCAAATACTATCTTTACAAACTGGTGTGTATATTGTCTGTCTTTCCCCAGTAAAATGTAAGGCCCAGGCTGGGCATGGTGGCTCATGCCTGTAATCCCAGCACTTTGAAAGGCTGAGGCAGGAAGATAGCACGAGTTCAGAAGTTTGAGACCATCCTGGGCAACATAGCAACACCTCTTCTCTACAAAACATCAAAAAATTAGCCAGGTGTGGAGCACACCTGTAGTCCCAGCTATTCGGGAGGCTGAGGCAGAAGGATTGCCTGAACCCAAGAGGTTGAGGCTGTGGTAAGCTGTGCTCATGCCACTACACTCCAGCGTGGGCAACACAGAGTGAGACCTTGACTCAAAAAAAATAAAAATAAATAAAAATAAATGTAAGCTCTATGAGAGCAGGGGTTTATTTTTTCTGTTTCCTTCATTGCTATGTCCCCAGCCTAGAAAATTAAGGCTGAGAGCAGAGACTAACGCCTATAATCCCAGCAGTTTAGGAAGCGGAAGTGAGAGGATTGCCTGAGCCCAAGAGTTCGAGACCAGCCTGGGCAACATAGCGAGACCTTATCTCTACAAAAAAACCCCCAAAAAACCAAAAAGTAGCTGGACTGTAGTCCTGGCGACTTGGAAGGCTGAGGTGGAAGGATCTCCTGAGCCCAGCAGGTCGAGGCTGTGGTGGCCATGACAGTGCCACTGCACTCTAGCCTGGGGCGACAGAGTAAGATTCCAACTCAAAACAAAGAAAAGAAAATTAAACAGTGTGTAAAGTTCCTAGATGAGCTGAAGCAGTTATTTTTCATCCAGGACGTGAACTCCTCTGCCTTTGCTGTCTCACATGAGTCTTGCTCCACCCAACTGCAAAAAGGAATTGCAGCTGCCTGCCCTCCCACCATTCCCACCCCTCTACCACCCACCCACCCCATACACCCCTCACCCCTGCCGCTCCACCACTGCCAGTACTCTCAACCCCAGCATGCCCTGGGCAGGGAGAGAAACAAAAAAGAAAGCAAGGCTGTAGCCAGGTCCCCAGCCCCTTAGAAACCTGTGCTGGCCAGCACGGTGGCTCATGCCTGTAATCCCAGCACTTTGGGAGGCCGACGAAAGGAGGATCACTTGAGCTCACGAGCTCAAGACCAGCCTAGGCAACACAGCAAGACCTTGTCTCTTTGAAAAAAAAAAAAAGCTGGGCTCAGTGGCTCAGCCTGTAATCCCACGCTTTGGGAGGCTGA